CAGAATTGCACAAGCTTGACTGGCTTGGATCTTTCGCACAACAAGCTATCTGGCTCAATCCCTGATAATATCTCAAAGCTTATCCCCTTTATTACAAACCTTGATCTTTCATTCAACAATTTTTCGGGTGGAATTCCAACAAATCTTTCAAGTTGTAGTTTCTTGAATGATCTCAAACTTGACAACAACCGGCTAACAGGCAAGATTCCGCTGGAATTTGGCCTGCTTGATCGGATCAAGGTATTTACGGTTACCAACAATCTTCTATCAGGGCCGATCCCTGCATTTATCCGTAATAACATCCCAGCTTATAGCTTTGCAAATAATCTGGACCTCTGTGGAAAGCCATTGAATCCCTGTCCAGCTGTCGCGGGGAAATCCCATGTTGGAGTAATTGCTGCATCAGCCGCTGGCGGGATAACATTTACGTCAATTATTGTTGGTGTCTTTCTGTTCTACTTGTCTCGCGGAGCAGCTAAGAGGAAGGCGGAGGATCCTGAAGGTAACAGATGGGCAAAGAGCATCAAGGGAACCAAAGGCATCAAGGCAAGCTATCTAACTCATCATGTTCAATGGATATACTGTGTTTTTTTCTTGCATAGGAATTGAATTTCTGTTTCTTTTTTCTGGTCATGTTAACTCATCAATGATTTCATTTTTTATTTGACGCAACAAAATATCTAACAGCAAAGATTCTGTTATCAACAGGTTTCCATGTTTGAGAAATCGGTTTCAAAAATGAGATTGAGTGATCTCATGAAGGCAACCAACGACTTCAGTAATAACAACATCATTGGAGCAGGAAGAACAGGACCAATGTACAAGGCAGTGATTTCTGATGGTTGCTTCCTTATGGTTAAGAGATTGCAAGACTCTCAGCGTTTAGAGAAAGAGTTCGTATCAGAGATGAAGACACTTGGGAATGTGAAACACCGAAATTTGGTCCCGCTGCTGGGCTTTTGTGTGGCAAAGAGGGAGAGATTTTTGGGGTGTAAATTCATGGAAAATGGGACCCTTTATGATAAACTGCACCCAGTGGAACCTGAGATCAGGAACATGGATTGGTCCCTGAGGCTCAAAATTGCAATTGGAGCGGCTAGAGGTTTAGCATGGCTTCATCATAACTGCAATCCACGAATTATCCACAGGAACATAAGCTCCAAGTGCATACTCTTGGATAACGATTTTGAGCCGAAGTTATCTGATTTTGGCCTTGCCAGACTCATGAACCCAATCGACACACATTTGAGCACTTTCGTCAATGGGGAGTTTGGGGACATGGGTTATGTTGCTCCTGAATATCTACGGACACTTGTTGCAACGCCCAAGGGGGATGTTTATAGCTTTGGTGTGGTTCTCCTGGAGTTGATCACCGGTGAAAAGCCCACTCATGTTGCTAATGCCCCTGAAAGCTTCAAGGGAAGTTTAGTGGAGTGGATCAGACAACTGACAGATGGTCCACTTCTTCATACTTCCATTGACAAGCCTTTGCTTGGAAATGGATTCGATCACGAACTCAACCAATTTCTTAAAGTTGCTTGTAACTGTGTGGTTGAGAATGCTAAGGAGAGACCAACAATGTTTGAGGTGCATCAGCTCCTCAGAGCTATCGGGGAGAGATACCATTTCACAACTGAAGATGATATTATGTTGCCAACTGATACAGGTGACACTGATTTCCCAGATGAACATATAGTTGCCGATGAAACAAAGGAAGTTTAATGAATAACAGAGGTGTTAAAGATTGATAGAAAAGAGTCTGAGGCCATCAATTGGCACTCGCGAAAATATATTCTACGTTGTAGCTGTGATCATATAGGCATAGTGTGAGTGTTTGTCACTATATTTGTAGCATTTGAAGCACCTGCTTTGGGTGAAACACCAACCTTATATATACCGCTGTCCAATTATCATAAAACCTTGCTCATTGCTCCTCGTACATAGACAATTTCCTTGTTGGATATTGAGAGTCCGTAGATAAACTTGCTTACCTGGTTGAGGAGTATGTCTGTAAGCCTTTCGGTTTCCTAGTCTTTTTTTTTTTTCTTATTCCGAGTGATATTGTATCATAAGCAACTTTATTACTCAGTAATTTCAAGCATCCGAGTACTGTTGCCTGGCCTGCACCCAAAAATGCAGAATATGGAGATCCTCTGTCACCATGAGGAAGAGTAATATCGTCATTTGCATCTATATCAAGTTTTAATTGAAAAATTACCTTGGCTTTGACTTGAACTGAAACATGAGATTTGAAAAACAATGAGACAAGAACTGAATTCATTGGCTGTATGGGATCAGTAATCAATAGACTGATGATAGGAGATCAGATTGATTAGAGAAAAGCCTTTCAATAAGAGAAATTTCTTCGAATAGCAAAAACAAGAGAATGTTCTAAATTGTCATCGTTACATTTTCCACTGAGGTTCATCTTGGAGGCAAACATCAATTTCCATGACAGTAACTTGTCTGCAGGTTCATTTTACCATATTTGCTTCAACCTTCTCTCTTGAAATTCCCGTTCTTAGACAGGAAGATTCAACTTCTTTTTAGTATAGTTCCAATAATTTAGGGGCATCCTTGTAACAAATTCACATACATCTGCAAAACGAGACTTCAAAGGAACAAAACCCTTTTCTTCTACTCCCTCAACAGTCTATTTAAACGTATCCGGATTTGAACGAGTGATTGAGGCATGAAGCAGGGAGCCAAAACAATATTTGATCAGGCACTCCATTATCTAGCAAAATCTTGATGTTGGGTGGCTTGGTATATTGACCGTTCCTATGTAAAATATCGGTACTAGGTTTAAGAGCAGCAATGGTCTTCTCATCATATTGAAGCGAGTCTCTAATGAATTTGTAATTAGGAATTGTATGCTTCTTTAAGCTTCTAATGACTAGGTGAGAGTTCTTATAGAACACGGTAGCAAGATCTGGTCCTAAAGCACCCTGAGAGTAGAAAACCTGAAACTTGGAAAAAGGTTCTTATCGGGAGTGTACGAAAGAATTTTTGGCTATCTGATGATTTTAATATCTGGGTTTGACAGAAACCATGGGACTTGAACAAGTTAAAGACAAAGTCAGGTTTCCTAGGGCATCAAAATGGAGATATTTAGAAGCTGATTAAGCTGATTTTAATGGGAATCCACAAGTGTTGGGACCAAGTGACATGTATTTTTATAAAAATACATTTGGATTGAGAAAATTTCAGATATATATTTAGCATCAACGTATTGAAGTTATATAAAATCAACTAAAGAACATCAAATTAACGATTTTACAATTCAAACTTATGTTAAAAAGCACCTTTAAACACAGTGTAAAGGCAATACCAAATACTTTAGTCACTACAGTTCAAAACTCAAACCAGGTTAGGTTCTGAGAAGTAAAATTCTCATAAATACCTTCATTTCTAAGTGCAGGCCATCTTTTTTTCACTGAAACCTGGAGATGGCTTGATTGCATTTTACAGAGGCCAGCTAGCTGGGAGCCACCACGCAACCATAATCACGCAGGATAATAAGAATGCTTGAGTTGTACCTGTCAGGTTGTGGCTCAGTGGTGTTGACGCAGCTCCTTTCGAACTTTGATTTGAGTCCCAGTGGAAGTGGGGCTGAAGAGCTATTTCCTTTATGTCTTTATTAGATCCATTAGGTTGTGGCTCAGTGGTATTGACACAGCTCTTCTTTTTTCGAACTTCGATTTGAGTTCCCAGTAGAAGTGGGGCTGAAGAGCTATTTCTTTTATGTCTTTATTAGATCCTCTCTGTGTGGTACGCCTGTTACCCCGCGGTATCTTACCTGTTTACTGGGCTTGCAGGATGTTCAGTGGGCCAGCTAGCCCGGACACCAACGTTAATAAAAAAAAAAATGCTTGAGTTGTGATATATAATTATAGAAGGCATCTGCTTTCGCCTATATTTGAAATACCAATAATATATGAACGGTTTCCCTATTTTATCTATAAAGAAAGGGACCGTTGCTCCCATGGAACGTGCAATAGCCTCTTGGAATGTTGAGAGAATAAGTTGCTTTACATTACATGTAGTTCCCGGAAATAACGAAATGTATATAGAGTTTAATGTAAAAGGGCCGTGAAGATGCATTACATTTTCCAGCTGCAATGGTTTTGTATTTAGCAGGCACAAATATGTATCTGCTCTCTTTATCTGTCTACGCCTATTTCCTATTTGCACCTTTTTTTATTTTTATTTATTTATTTTGTAAATCCCTTTTTAATTGTTAACCGAACCGATTACTCTTCACTGCATTGTAATTGCTAATTCAAGGCGCTGACACAAGGTATATTACTCTAACTCGATGGTACCAAGAGTCAACAGTACGAATGTACGATGAACACACCGTTCTTTTTTCTTGAGGTAAAATAAGAACCATGATATTATTCGTTCCCCTAGCTAAAGCAACCTCTCTACCTGAGCCCCGACATGCATGTTGATCAGCTCTCCGACAGCCCCGGGACGTGGGAAGATTTGGTTTAATTTTCTTCCTTCCATTCCCTGTCTGGAAAAGGAGACGGTAGAAAAGGAAACTGCATAACAAAGTGGGAAAGAAACTCTAGTTGAGATGATCTAAATTGACAAGAACCTACTAAGAGTCTTAAATATTATAATGGAAGAGGAAATCCACGGAGGTGTGTGGAATCCACGCCTGACTCTCGCTCCAATGCTACCCTCCCAGTCCTTGCCACCTTCAACAGAGAAAAGAAGTACTGACTCTAAATGATAAGATGGAAACAAGATAAGAAATTCCATTTCATTAATGAAACTGAATTCTGGCAAGAAGTTAAATGGTATCACTAGTGTCTTCAAATCCGACACAATTGCAGACTAAACCACCCTCAATGAAACAATTGCTGGAAACAAAATCAGCTTCAAACATTCCCGAGACAACATAGTTGTTACTATGTTGAACTAGTGGTAACTTAAAATCAACAGATTGAAAAGCTTTAGTCTAGATAATTATGAAGAGGCAAGTCCACATGGAACTACCAGATCGATCTTGAAAAAAAATATCTGAAAACTTCAGCGACTGATGAAATTAACCAGATTCGGCAAGAATCAGAAGACATACCTCACATATTCCATATGGCTCCAATATTCTCTGCAAAGCAACCATCTTATTAAAATCTCCTGTAAGCTGAAATGGATTCAAATGGCTAGAGCATTAGTAACAGCAAGGACAAATAACAGGAGATTGAAATAAACCACGGAGAGAGGCTAATACTGTCATAAAAATAAATGTGAAGCTCCTGAATAGCGTGCAATAAAGGCATCCTTAAAGCAACACTCTAACTTGATTTTAATGCAAAAAGATATGGACTTTCAGTTGCCAGATTAACTTTCGGGAAAGTGCAAGTAACCAGTAATGTGTTATATCAAGTTGATAACTGATTGATTTTAGCAGATTGTTCAAGTAACAAGACTAATGCCGACATTTATCTTGGCATCCCCAGTTCACATTCCTTCAGAGCTCTTTAACTACAAAAAGTTGAGACAAACAGCCAACCAATTTGAACTCCAGCATTCAAGAATTGATTTTAGCATTACGGTGCTTCTGGTGGGCTTGATAACTATGTTGTGCAGGTATTGCTCCACTAGTCAAATCCAGGAAGACAAGAACTACGAAATGTCATGTTTTTCATGCCACAGCCCCCAGAGATCTTACATTTTTTCTATGACAAGGAAACTTCACCTGCGCCGAGAGGAGAAATAGAATTGCTATAGAAAAGGAAGTCTGTATATTTTCACACACCCAATACTTCTCTGCACTGACAGAGAAGTTATATATAGACTCGTACATTCTTAGTTGTTGCACAAAATAAGGAAAGAAAAGATTACTATTCTAACTCCATAAATTCAGCAGCTAAATACTGAGGGGATTATCAAGTGTAGCTGTCAATTTGTTGGAGTTTCTTTTATCTATTGAACTACCATTTACGTAGGAATTTGTTACTCTTTGGAAGTCCTTATCACCAACCATATTTCCTTTGATATGTCTGTGAGCATGATCATCCTTATTACTCCATAATTCTTCCTTGTCACTCCATGATTTGTGGGATAGACTCACACGATTGTTGCTAACATGAGACTGTAGGTTGCTAATACACTGTTCCAACAAGGAGCGGGTAAACCCTGGGTAACCATGTAGCCAGGTAAGCCTCAGGTACCAGAAATACAAAATAGTCCAAGTCTCCATGGAAATAAAGAGATTTTTCAAAACAAAAATCTCCGGCACAGATACCTCGATTTGCTCCAATACTAGGATGATGTGAGATGGTATTTGAGGATGCAATTACTCTAAAAATTTTGCAAGTCAGGACACCATTAAATAAAACCCCAAACACCAGTCTAATTAAATCTCCGCTGCACCATCCTTACCCTTTCAAGCACCACACATTCACCAATTCCTTGTCATCCCTAGACCTTCATCAAAAGACCTTAAGCGACAAACCAACTGATACTTCAGTTTGCCAGCCCTTAAAAACTAATGCTTGTCGAAACCCTTCACCACAATAACCAAATTGTAAAAATAAGTTGAGAAGCTAGGAAGAGTACATTCAATCAATATATCAACCTAAGTTGACGCAGACAGTAAATAATCTTAGTTTTACTAGACAACAGGTGGGACCAGCCAAGTCCTATCCTGATATTGATTAATGTCTTAATCATCATCACAGTAAGATTGAGGTTTGTCTTGCAAAAAGGAAAGCCAATTAAGTGTCGATGTACAAAAATGCTAAATGAGAGATTCGGTTGGTAAATGAGAAAGAAATTTACCTCAAGAGTAATTGTGTGATCAGAGACGTCAACAGCTTTTGCCCGAAATATTCTAGCAATATCAAGAACATCCCTCCTTGCAGCACTATTTGCAGCTATCTTTATCAGAGTCAATTCTCGTTCTGCAAATGGCGAGTGAGTAATATCGCGAACCTGAATTAAATACCACCTTCTTTGTCATCCATTATGTAATTTAGACTGAAATTTCATTCAAAAGATAACAAAAACCATTGCAAGAACAGATCATTACTGCAAAGTTTAACAATTGAAAGAAATCAATTATTCAACAATGTCACAAATTTTTTTACAGAATCTGTAAAAAAAGAAATCTGTTGGGATCTTATATTTCACTAAATTTAGCCAATCTCTCTCTAGGGGTAAAAGGGAAATTAATATTAAGTGTACATATAGACTAAGGGTAGGATGGTTAACAGTGCTTATAAAACTTTGTTCTTCAAGATTATAAAATTCTTCAAAATAAGATTTATTGAAGTGAACTAATTTGTTTAACAAAAAGATTCCTCCCGTAGACCATCGCATCCCTCTAGAAATATGATATAATTGTTTTAGATTCTAGATTTAGTTATCCAGGTCCTCGACATATATAACCTGATATTGTTTCATATATTAGATTGGAGTGCATCTAACTCTCATGTTTTTACCAAACACTTCTGCAGAAAAAACTTATTGCTACATAAAATAATAGCAATTCCGATTTCCATGTGATTTCAAGACCACTTAGTGTTCATTTTCATTTTCTTCCCTTTTTATTGAGATCATGTAGTTACTGAAATGAGATGCTCAAAAGTAGGGTTTTTATCACATGTTAAGGTCACCACCCCTTACCTCATGAAAATCTATTAACTTGTGAAGTTGCTGAACCAACTTGCCAATTGACTCGTCTGTTCCAGGAATAACTGTAGTAATGCGAGAAAGTCCCTCCTTTTCAGCATGCCCCACAGCAAGACTCTGAGAGGTTTAAGTTCAAAGAACTATACAACACATTTAAATAATCAAAATTAGGATGAACAGAATGATAAATATGATCATACTTACCTGAATGTTATAGCCTCTTCGAGATATAACTCCGGTGAGAATATTGAGAACTCCGGGACAGTTATTCACAAGCATAGACAAAGTGTGTGACCGAAGACCATTCGACTGAAACATTGAATCAAACAAACAATCAAAATTCTGTAAATATGAGAATGAAAGGTGAGGCAGCTACTCAAATATATCTACCATTTACCATCTTCGCCAATTATAGTGTATCAATTAAAACCACTGTTAACAAGTTACCAGTCCAGATGGAAAATTGAGTTTCTCATTTTAAATGCCAAATCAGGTGAATGTTAGCTCATATATCTAGTGATACAGAAAATGGAACCAAAGGATAAAAAATAACTTTCCCTATTGACTATGATAAGAACTTGAAAATAAAGGTATAGGGTAAAAAATCTGAATCATAATTAAGTTCTGTGTCAAGATGACCTTTCAAAAAATTTGCAACACGTTTGAACTGAATATTTTGAACATCATCACTTTAGTTATCCACATACCTCATAACTCTTAACGAAATAAATTTAAGTTTACTGATTAAAAATAAAGTTTAAGGTTTTGAAAGGCAAACGAGTGTCTTGGTCTTACATCTTCATCGTAAAGTACACCCCAGTTAGCATCAAGAACTTGATTTACCAAGAAATCATCGTTAGGCTCCACGGCATAGACATCACCCTTCAATTAAAAAGACAAAAAATTCAACAAATATCCAGTCTAGCATACTAATGATCCAATACAAAACTCACAGCATACATGAACCAAAGGAGGAATACGGAAAAAATTGTGATGTGGAAAACAAGTAAACTACATGGAATTTTGCTCGTCTACTAGCTCGTAAACTTAAAAAACAAGTAAACCTGGTATTTCGTCTAACCAAGCACAGGCTACCAAACCTACATGTGAGCATCATCATGGTCATTTAAAAATAAATCCAAAGGACAATCTTCTTGGAACACAAGCAGGTAAAGTGTGAAAAGAGTAGATTAGACGTTTTCTTCAAGCAATATGTAATCATGAACAAGTTCAGTGAGCTCTGATGATATCAGATATCACTTGTTTGAAATTTAAGAACCCATTAAACATATAATTTTGTCTTCAGATTAACAACATATTTACCATCAATCTTACATCAACAACTGTTTTGAGTTCAGTAACATAATTAACATCCCAAAAATGGCAGTAAAATGAATAAGTTATACCTTTGAGGATGAAGTGTTGCTGCCATTAAGTGATAGGTCTCCATTCCCTGCAAGGGTGCTAGCAAAATTCCTATCAACAGCAACGCCAGATGGAATCCTGTCAAGGTCAGGACAAGAAGCTGCAGAAAAACTCCAAAATGGAGCTTTCTCGCCCATTGTTTCCCGTCTCAGAGCAATCTAGAAATAGAGTGAAATTCAAACCACATTGCTGAAAAAAATCATCTTAATATAATCAATGTTAAACTTAAATATCTATTTCTTGTACATGTGAAATAACATTGCAGACATTTACACATGTAAAATATTGTTTTGAGAAAGGAATTCCAGAGTTTGAATATGCTTGGAGACAATTTTAGATTTGAAGTTGTGCGGGAAAGAGCTGCATGTTTTAAGTAGATATTAGTTTAATCTGTTAGGTGAGGTCCCAAGAATAATTTTATATTACTCTCTAAGACAAAGAAACAGGCATTGTACCTTTCCCGTTCTGGCAAGTTCTTTGATTCCAAACTTGCTTAAGTTCCTTTGAACAGCAGCCATCTTCCCAGGGTCACCAGTGACCTGAGACATGAAGATAATATAAGCAGACCACAATCTCAGCCCTAAAAAGTATAAACAAGAACATGTTTTAAGTAGACATTAGCTTGCCCTCAGGCAAACCGCATAAAGTAATTGTTCTGTGATTTGCACTTCTAATTATTTTACACCGACCAGTCAAACCACAATCTCATGTAGCTAATAAGAAGATGCAAAATACATGGAAACAAGCTAAACAGGCTTGGACTCCAGAGTAGCTATAGAACAGCAAGAAGTTTTTCTTAACATTGTTTCTAACTTTGATCTTTTAAGTTTCTTGCACAGAAGGCTTCTGCCCCACAAAGTCTTTGACAAATTTATCATTGCCCGTCTAAAGTGCCTAGAATTTTATATCAGACAGGTTTCTCAAATTAGATACTATACGACTGAAATCCCCAACAAAGCCTTGACAAAATTTACCCTGTGCATAAATGCCTAAGCGTCGAGGCATCTAGCTAGACCATCACCATCTGATCTCCAACTCTAATCACTAGTTCAAATCAACATTGAGCATCGTAGCCATGGGATGTAAAACAAGGAAAAAATTGCAAAATGGTAAAGCATCCTATCAAAGTCACCTCGATAGTAAGTGAATGTTCTGAGATATCAACAATTGTGGCTCTGAAGATGTCCACTAACCACATGATCTGAAGTTCGAAGCAAATAAAAAGAGATCAGCTACCTGAAAGCGCGGTGACTAATAAAACAAATGATCTTTGAACTTTAACACCATGGAGAACTACATGCTCAAAGAGAACTAGTTAATTCAGTTGCTTAGCTTGTTTGCATTGGAGAAGTCATCAAAGAAATATAACATCAAACAGACTTTGAGTAATGTACAATTTGTGTACATAGCTAAAACTAAATACCGCATTATTACCTCAGCACGAGTACTTGGATTAGCATTGAGTTTTATGAGCATCAGTTCACGTTCCACTTGAGGGTCCCTGGAGATATCTTCCACCTGATGAATCCAATCAGAATTATCAGTGTGCTAGGCTAAAAAGTAGAACGTGTTTGTTAGGGAAGAACAAATGCAAGGGACAGGCAATAAAAATTCTTTGTGGGTTTTTGCCAAATTTTGTGACGTAGGTGGGTCCGAAGAATTTGATAGTTGAATCGTTAGCCCGGGGTTTTTACGTGCCAGTCAGGTATAGTTAAATTCAAGAAAAGGCATATTCATTTAAAATAAATAATCTAACAATAAAAGATTTATTAAATTAGCTCAGATTTTTGGATAATTTTAGAGGTTCGGTTTTACATGAGTTCGGCTTGCTATTACCATTCAGAGTTCCAGAAAAGCCTCGAATTAGATTTGAAAAATGCTCCTGCGACCATTTTCGATATTTTTTCTTTTTCTTTTTAAATTTTAAGTTTTATATCTTCTTTCCTTTTTCAAATTAAGATTATGATTTTTTTACAAGGTGGCTTATTTAAAAAACTATAAACCTCGTTAGAAAAAATATATTCACTCACTAATAAAGTGCGAAATTTAGCTAATTTTGCCCTTCTTCGTGATTGTTGTTTCCTGTTTCCGTCTGCGTGAGTTTGCCTTGTTAAGCAAAGATACTTGGAAGTTCATATGGATGAGTCTTAACCTTTATGACAGTCACAAGCTTGTTAAGCTGTTCTACAACTTGCCGCAAGACTTCTTCAGTTCCACAGACAACTATGGTAAAGAGAGCCTTATCCTTGTTCAAACCAACAGCAAGGGATTCGATGCTGTAACCTCTTCTAGCAAAGACCCCTGCAATCCGATTTATTATACCGATTTCATCACCCACGAACACTGAAATTGTGTGCCGTTGCATCCTGAAAATAGACTTGTTAATTCATGATTTAAGGTTCCATCGATCTTGGATTATCTAAGCTATATTATCAAATAGCTGCCCAGCCATCGAGCTTCTAATTTCTTGGTATAAAAAGAAATGAAGAACTGGATTGGTCTAGTGATCAGTAGCTACTACTCCCGCCCAAAATAAGCAAATCAAATTCCAATAATAAAGTATAGTGCCAGCAAAGCAAGAATGAACGACTTAAACACTTAAAGCACAAAGGAGATTAATATTGATTAAATTACCATTTTTAATCCGATAGAGAACATGACCCCACTAAATTCAACAAATGAAGAGACAAAACAAGGGAAAAACGACAGCCCTTTCAATTTCAACGGAAACCCAATTGAAAAGGGAACTTCTTTATATATGTAACCACAGGAACACAAACATAGACCCCCCCAAAAAATAATAATAATAATAATCTTGACATGAAGGAGCAAAACAAAGCCAGAACAAAAGAGAAACAAAAATTGAAAGATCACAAAAATGGAGCTTGAGTTAGAGTTAAAGACTGACTTGGAGCGAGTCACGGTAGGCACGGAATCAGCAACAGACACTGCATTCCCATTATCTTTGCTAATGGCACAGGAGACCTTAACAGCATTGTTGTTCTCCCAAATAGAGGGCCTTAAAAAATGTACAGAACCAGAGCTTTTCCTTGAAAACCCACCATCAAGATCCAGTTTGGAGGACGGGTTTTGAGCTGTAATGCGACTTGAGAGCAGTAAAACAGAAGCCGCCATGACTGATTGCACTCACTTTATGCGGCTAGCTGGAGGACATGTATTTAAGGGAGAAGGTGAGATGGTTAGCCTCCAATGCTTACAACTCACAAGTGTTCATGAACTAGAACAGCAAATGTCTCTGTACTGCAGTAACTGTTATAGTTATGAGTTAAAAATAATTATTTTATATAATATATTTTTAATTAAAATTAATTTGAAAAAATAAGTGTGTGGTTAAAATTATGGTTGAAAAAAAATAATTTAATGTGTTTGGTTAATAATGTTTTTGAAATTAAGGTTATAAAATAATTTTTAAAAAAATATATATTAATATTAATAATTTTTAATTTAAATATTGTAGATTTAACTTTTGTTATTATATTGTAAAATAAATAATATTTATATAAAATATTTTTTGTTATTCCATTAAAATATATTCGATAAGAACTACAGTTTTTTTAATTTTTTAAGCACGCAATAACATAAAGTAAAATATAATCAAGAACGAAATTGGGATTGCGATTAAATTCTGCAAATACTATTTTATCAAGTGATCTTTGTCTAATTTATGTAGTATCATTAAATAATGTTAAACACTAGTTTTTTGAATAAAGAATAATTAAAAAATTTAAAATAATTTTTATTTTACTATGTTGAATATGACTTTATGTATTTTAAGTTTTGAATCGGAACTGAATGCATATTATACTGTTCATGTTAATTAATTAGCATGAATAATATAACATGTATACAGTGCAAGTTACATGCACTTGGCATGAACAATGTAATATGTATACAGTGTACAGTGTATGCAAGTTACATTGTGCATGCTAATTAATTAGCATGCACAGTGTGTAAATGTATTTCCTATTGTTTACTATTGAAACAAAAGTAGTTTTTTATTGCTTCGTGATTATCGAGTTTGCAACGCAGTAAAAAGTGGGACTTATAAATAGTTAATAATATTTTTTATATAATCAAATATATATTTATTGTGTTTTATTTCAACCGCAGTCACAGCCGCGTGGACAAATCAACTCAGCATTTGTATAAGGGGGTTTCACTTTGGTAGAGGTTGTTTTATATATATATTGTATTTTTATAAGATATAATTTATATTTTAAAATAATTATATCTACCATAAATGCATTTAAAAATACATTTTTTTGTGGTTAATAGCACGTGTTCCCTTTTGTGTGTACTTTGCAGCGAAGGTACCGTAAAACCATAATTATTAAATCCAATCGTCAGTGGCCGGACAGATCGATGGAGAAAAATTAAAAAAAAAAATTTAATGATTTATAATAGTTTGCTTTTTCATTGATTTAGATTCTTTTATTATATGGAAAGTGTCAGGTATCATCACAATATTCTCTTTTTTTCCACGTGATTTTTCAACCGTTTTACGAGCACGTGAAGCTTTTTACTGCTGCCCCTGGAATAAATTGTGTCCACGATGTAATTGCCGCGTGTCCTTTATTGGGACCCCTATCCAATCATCCCTCAACTCTCATGTCTCCTTTTCTGTTAATAATGGCCTCGCGTGACACCACGTTTAAAATATTCCAAGAACATCCGGCAAAAACAAAAAAAATCCAAGCTATTGAAAAAGAAAATTGTACATTATTACAAACAAAACTAAACGCATCAGTATTTTACTGTGCTTCAAATATTGTGTATTTTTTTACAGTATATTTTAGATTGAAATAGTATATTTTCTTGTAATTTTCACTTTGATCATTAAATTTTTATTTTACATGATTTGGTCTTCTAAAACTCAAACTATCTTCTAATTATATTTTTTAATTCTTTGAATGAAGGGTTGAATTGAAAAATAAGAGATTGAAGTGAAAATTTCAAGTAAGTTTTATCGAAGCATTCATTTCAATCTTCCCATATTTTTAAGTTATTAGGTGATTAGTCTCTTGAATTTGAAGACAATATATTTTAGTATCTAAATTTATTTTTTTATTTTTTTATTTTTTTATTTTAGTATTTAAATTTATTTTTTTAATTTTTTTGGTTGGAGTATCTAAATTTATTTTTTTAATTTTTTTGGTTGGGAGGAGAGAGAAGGAATTGTCGAATTCTAATTTAAAGAGAGAAAGTGATCAATGGAAATTATTCTAACCACCAAACAATTAATTTTTGTGTTAAAAAATTCCATATGATGAGGGGATTTGCTTTTATGTGTTTGTTTACATTTAAAACACCTAAAAAACATATTTGAGCTCAATAAGATTTTTTTTTTAGAGTGAATTGTGGATTCTTGAGAGGTCTTATTAATTTTTTAGTAGTCATGAATTGGTTTAACAAGATCTTTAGAGTATTTTATAAGTGTTTTGGATAAAAAATAGGTTGAAAATAGGATTTTAGATGGAAAACAAAGAACCTTGTTTTTCCAACCACCATAGTAGCCCAATCTTGGGTTGATAAAATGACACGACATCTGCTAACACAGGTGAAACATCATTTTCTTATATATATATACTCATGTCGTTTGCCCTATTAATTTTTTTTTAAATAAAGGCTCGTTTACAAGCCATTGTTTTATTAAGCAAGGCTAATGACGAGTAGCATGAAGAATAATCCTCAAAACAACCTAATAATAAATGATAAAATTTAGAAAATAAAATTTGAAAAGTGAAATAAATAAAAAACTAAACACAAAACATTTTTTTAGTGAATTGTAGTTTACGAGCTTGGTGGTAGTAAATTAGGCACCCCTTTAGTTTTTTTTTTCCTTGTTAATTTTAACAAAATTTTTAATCCTTGTGCAAAAATATTCGTACTCATAGGACAAATTTTAAAAAAAATTAAAAATATTTTTTCATTCGTACTCATAGGAAAAATTTTAAAAAAAATTAAAAATATTTTTTGAATACAAAAATAAATACACTTTAAAAGAAAAGGAGTTAGGTGCCCGTGTATTGTGAATATAGAGCGGGCATGATAAAAAATGTTTTTGTAAATGCTAGACTAGTATTGATTACAATATACTAGGTATGTTTCCAACGTGTTGTTGTAGGCCAAACAATTTTTTTCAAAAAAAATAAGTAAAAAACATGAAAAAATCCAATGAGGATGAAATCTAAAAAACAATTATCATATATATAAAAAAATACAATTAAAAAAATTACAATCAAACTTGAAAAATTAAAAAATCATGGGTGGTAAAATTAAAAATTATTTGTAACATGACAGATTATTCATAGATTAAAAACAATCATTGAGATAGAAAAAATTGTCAAGGGCTAGCCTAATTGAATCAAACAACAAAAAATATATATATATATATATAAAAAGATGATAAAAAATAATATAACATCAATTTAATTCAATTTAGATAGGACAAAAAAGATTTCAAAATTATGATTTCTCCTCCCAGAAGCTGCTGAATTTTTATTATTTGTTGTCTTGGTTTGGTTGGAGTAGTAGATACTATAACACCATATCATAGTTTTAAAACCTGACTCGGTAGTCGACTCGATCTAATGACTGGGTCACAGGTTAAAGGGGTTCACCTGGAAAAAAAAGAGCAAATTGATTCAAAACTTGCAAAATTCAAAAAAAATTCAAAGCTTATTCTTTTTATATGTCATTTATTAAACCAGAGGTCTACAGAAAGCATCCTCACCCTCCACAAAACCTCATTTAGTATGTCAGTATTAAATCAAAGCATTAAATGCTAGCATTTATTTAGGCGCCTCCCTTTCTTTGAATTCTCTTCCCCAGCTCCATCCGTATACCACTTTAATTAAATTAAATTAAAACAATTAATGAAAAGAGTATTGGAAAATTCAAAATTCACACTGTAATAATCAACACTAACCACTTTTCTAGCTTTTCATAACGTGGCATATATTTATCTTTTCATTTATATTTCAACTCCCCTCTTATATACACAAATCACCCACTCTCTCTTTGTGTCTCTAGTTGCTGGTGTGAAGAAGAAGAAAAATGAGCTCTTTTTTGTGAATATGGCAGTTGAGGTGAGCTCTCTTATTGAGTGGATACACGGATGATAGGAACGTTATGAACGAATCTGGAGAGGCAATATCTTCCTAGATATTCCAAGAAAATGATTTTTTCATAAGAAACAAAGTTTTTAATGCTTAAAAAGAGATTTTATATGTTTTTTACACCTGTTTAAAATTATGATTTTTTCTTCTTTTCGTTTTCTTTGAATTGAAATTCAAAGGCTTTATAATTTCTTTCTCTTGGTGCGAAGATATCTTTTTATTAAATGATTGGTACTTTAATATTTCTTGATTTACCTTGAAATCCTTTGCTCTATTTGATATCCTCAGTTTGGTTTATGAGAAAATATAGAAATAGAAAATGAGAGCAAAAAATTACGTTGTTTCACATCCATATATATATATATATATATATATATATATATATATATATATATATATATAAAGGAGTCAGGTCTCAGCTGGGTTTGCCCGGGTTCTGAGTTAGCTTGCTGGGTCGATCGAGTTTTGTCAGGCCAACTCCCCAGCGGGTTTTTACTTAGACCTAGACTGGTCCTAGACCTAGTTCAACAGAGTCCCGGGCTGACCCGACTGGCCGGTCCGGGTTTTAAAACTGTAGGAGAAATTGAAATTAAAGTTCTCCAGTTAATTAACTACAATAAACTAAAAGTCATAGCCTTTCACTTAAACTTTATGAATACATATTGAAAGACTGATTTTAGCCGAAAAAGTATTACCTTCAATTTATTCAAAGGGTGTGGTGATATTTTTTATTTGGCATATTGGTCATCATTTTGAAGGAAGGTGTTAGATGGTAACTTTGTGTTTTTTTTTTACAATGTGATTATTTAATTTCTATTGAAAAATAAACAAAATTTCGCTTGGGTTTAGATGCTTTTAAGTCTTTGATTTTATTTTTATACAAGTTTCTTCATTACCTTTCAAAATTAAAAACAACTATCTTTAATTTAAGTGCTCTTTTATCATTTATACGTGGTCATTTGGTAGTTATTGGATGTCATCAGAGACACTAAACTGGTTTGATAAAGAAGGCACATGAAACAAGAAAAATAATTGGATGAACAGTGTCAGTGCTTTTAGATGATGCATG